AAATGACAGTATATAGTGCAAATAGATAAGCAAAAACACCACCAAGAAAATTTCTTAACTAATTTTTTTATTTTTTTTATTTTATAAATCAGTAGTAAGTTCTTGTAAAGCATATATATATATATATATATATATATTAATTTCCATCAAGTTCATCTATTTAATTTGAAATCAAAGGAAAGCAGACGAAGAGGTGGTTCCTCCATGAGAGAATCAGATAATTTGAATGGCATGCCTATTCGGAATTGCTTTATAAATGGCATGTTTGGTTTTTTGGATTTGAAGTTGTTTTGAGTAATGTTTGGCTATTATTATTATTTATTATTTATTATTTTTTATTATTATTATTTTAAGGACTCGAGTCTTAAAAGAGTTTATTTGAAGAAGCTTGCTTCTTAAAACAACTGCTCATTGCAGCACTTCATTTGATAATAACAGACACTGGTTAAGGACTGACGATGGTTTAAAATTTTTACTAAACAATTATTTAAAAAGTGAAAATGATTAACAATGGAAAACAAATAGTAACGGACCGAAATCCAATTAAAACAATTCATTTCTCTTGATAAGTTCTTATTAGGTGAGAGTACTATATTCTCGGTACCCAATACCTATTCCTTAGACTATTTATTGCCGACTAATTGTTTTTTGTTTTTTCATGAATAGTTCTAAACTCGAACTAATTAATTAGGAATGAAGATATAATAATTGATGATTTGACTTTAATGTCCAATTGATGAGAAAGGCCAGGAGGCTTCACAAGACAGAATTAGGTCATTACGTCAAGCATGTGTTTTGCCTGGGGTTTTGTCTTGGAAATGCCTCCCATTATTGATGCAAATATGTTGGAGGAACACATGGTTTGTTTATCTTCTAGTTGAAGCTGAATGATACAACTTACATAAATTGGTTTAATAACATATGATGATGTATGCTCTCACAAGTTGTCTTCCATTTTATATGATTAATTCTAATTAAAAAAATTCAAGGACTCTTCAAATATTAAGCACTTGACAGAATTTTAAATTGAGTTGCTTCTTTGGTAACTAAAAATATAACCAAGCCTTTCTAGAAGGAAGATGTCCAATATATTGGAGTTCTTAAAAGTGATGAATGCTTGATGGTAAGCATTTTTTTTTTTTTTTTCTTTTTCTGAACTATATATATATATATATATATATATATATATATTCATTTAATGGTTAATTTGAGGAGTTGTGAACTTGTGATATAGAGTGGGACATAACTAAATTTATGTAAATAGAGAATGATGGCATGATGACACTATCATATTTAATGACGGTATCCCCCACTCTCAGTATAAACCAGTTAGATGCTTCTAACTTTTTACCTACTTTATCAATATTCTAATTTGAGCTATGGTCACAACTCATGTTATTTTCATTGAGCCGAAATAAGGTACCATAGCCATTTCGTGTGGCACCCACATCAAATGACTATTAGCAACTCGATCTCCTATTTCGTATTTTATTATAATAATCATTTTTATTGTCGTAATAGCAAAAGTTTGAGTTGACAAGTGTAACAAGTACTCGAGTCTCGCTTCTGCAAAAATAATGTCCTAGATTAGATTTAGAGACCAATCCTTATAGGTTGGACCAAAAATAGGTAAATGACATTAATACTTGTAGTTTTACTTCAATTTTGTTATTGAATTGATGGATAACCTCACTTAGATTCGTACTTCTGACTTTTTACATTCTTTATCAATATTTTAATTTGAGCTATGATAAAAAATCATGTTATTTTCATTGAGCCGAAATAAGATACCGTAGCCATTTCGTGTGGAACCCATGTGGGTCCTATATCAAATTGTTATTAGCAACTCGGTCTCCTATTTTGTGTTTTAATATAATAATCATTTTTCTTGGTGTAAAAGCAAAAATTTGAGTTGACGAGTGTAACAATAAGGGCCTGTTTGGTATCTACTTTGTTTTTGTTGTTTTTGTTTTAGGTCCGCTACAGTAGCCCAAATGAAGCCCAAAACATGTTTGGTTAATTATGTTTTGTTTTGCACAGTTGTGAAACATTTCAGTAAAAAGCCTCAAAACTTGAAACGCCAAAATGGTGTTTTATCTTGTTTCAGCCCTGTTTGCCCAAGATTTCACTGTAGCGGAAGAAGCAGCCGGCCCAACTTAAAACATACTTACTTCAGGTATATAAGCAATTTAGGTCATTTTGGGTAAATTTTTCTCTCTCCTCTCCCAATACTCTTTCTGCGATTCAAGGGCGATTTCAGAAAATTTCATCATCATCGATCGAAGTCGAGCCCTCAATTTACTGGATTTGATCAAATACAACACCTATGGAAGCTAGATTTGCTGGATTCAAACTTGAAACATATACAACACAGATCACACAGAAACAAATCAGTATCGTCTTCATCTTCTTCCTTTCAACCAGTAACCCTAGTGACACATGATATATTTTACTTTAGTGCTCTGAAATAAAACCATGGCTGCCAATGTTTTCATAATTGGAAATTCTGAATTATTCTTGGTCACTGAAGTTGAATATGCAATCTAACTCAGGTAGATTCCACTCTCGGCAAAGCCAAAATTTTGAAACCATTTGCTGAAAATAAAAGCCCCAGTTTCAAAGCTAGAAGATTTTTTGAAACCTTTTACTGAAATTAAAACCCCAATTTCTGTAAAATCTAATCTGGATACAAACCAAACCCAAATCCAGAACAATGGAGTCTTCATCTCGCGTTGGCGGCCTTGTTCGGAGCGTCGGTAATGCTTTCTCTACCTTCTACATCCACAAGCGCAGCCTCGACCAAGCTCTCAAACGCCTCATCAAAATCCGCCACAAATCCCCTCCCTCCGCTGCCGACGACGCCAATCATTTTGCCTCCGATGACGACGACCACGAAGATCACGATGGAGGCGAAGAGATTGACAACTTCATGTTAGCTGAGGTCTTGAGATAAGGCTGACTTTTTTGTTTTGTTCCTTTTTTTTTTTTTTTTTTTTTTTTGCAACAGTTGTAGTGACCAAACGGGTTTTGCATGTTTCTGTTTCTAATATTATCACAACAAAATATTATTCCCAAGCGTGCTTCTGATTTCTTTACAAAACACTTTTATAACAAAAACATTGTTTCTGTTTTTGGCAAAAGCAAAACGCCAAAAACAAAACGCATATCAAACAGACCCTAAGTTTGAGAGTCTCGCGGCAAAAATAATAACGTCCAAAATTAGATTTAGAGACCAATCCTTATAGGTTGGACTAGAAATAGGTAAATGACATTGATACTAATAGTTTTACTTCAATTTTGTTATTGAATTGATGGATACCCCCATGTTTGGATTTTATCCTAATTTTGCAACGAAGTGGTTAAATAACTCTTGATAAGGATATGATAAACTAACCCATCATACAAGCTATAACTCAACTGTTGATGACCCCACACCACCGCTTAGACATGTGCTTTGTTACAAATTGCTTTAGATTCAAGGTTTAGAATTTAGATCAGACATGTCTCCCCAAAAGAGGGGATTGGATTAGACCTCTATAACCACAGTTAGAATTGAAAAACTGATGTCCAAACAAGGCAGAAAAAAGATTAGATTCATGGCTACTAATTTTTTTGGACATTATATAGATTAGACCTCTATAACTACAGTTGAGTATTGAAAAATTGATGTTCAAACAAGGAAGCAAAGATTGCATTCATGACCTCTAATCAAATTCTAAATCAACATCAAATTGAATCCACTAGAGACCATGCATGCCTAAGCCCTATTCTTTGATGCTAAAGACAGCATCTTAATCTCATTCCCTTGTGAGCATGATTAAGCCCTAATCTCTCCGATTCTCGGCCGGCATGCCTTTACTTAATTTTTTAATAATGGAATATCTTTTGCAGAATTAGGATCATTGTACATAACCCTCATGATCTTCTAAGCCAGCAAGGTGAATAAGAGTGAATAGATTAAAAATGGAATGTCAACCAAGTCTAAACCCTAAAATAACCATATATATAAAGGCCTTTATTGAATTCTTATCACTTTGTATTTGATTAGTTCTAACAACTAAACTATTCAACTAACCTCAGATTCTAACATGTTATTCTTATCTGATTAGGATATTGGGAAAAAGTTAGAGAGAGAGAGAGAGAGAATTCCAAGCCAGCTCTAAAGAATAGAGCAATGATTGTTCTTTTCTGGCCCCTAACCTTCAACCCCACTCCAAGTTGGGCTTTGGGAGGGCTGGCATGTACTCTTGAGCAGTAAAGGCACAAAGAGTAGGGAAAGAAGGGTCCGGGAAGGCTGGCAGTGGCACCACCACCATCCCCACACTTCCCCCCTTTTTTCTCCTTCACTATACATACATATATCCATCCATACACATATATATACACATATGAGTAATACTACAAATCACGATCGGCTTTTTTTTTATGACCCTTCCAATAAATAGTGGCCAACAACTTGCCAGTGACCTAACGGTACCAAACTCTTACTTCTCAAATGGAGGACAGGAGTTTGATCCTTGATGGAGGTATGTATGTGTGTGTGAGTATCAATTAAGAAAGAAAAATAGTGGCCAACAAAAACTCTTTGTCAACAACGTGATTATATCAATGATTGATACATTATAACAAAAATCAATTAGGTTTACATCATTTTCAAATATATATATATATATATATATTATCTACACACAAGTAATGCTACAAATAACGATCAGTTTTTTATGCCATTTCAATAAATAGTGGCCAACAAGAACTCTCAGTAATAAATAGAATCTCCTTACCTTAGCGTGAAATATTAGTGGATAACAAAAACCGATCTCATTAATATGTATATAAACCTTTCCCAAGGCGGAGAGGGTCACTGTCATCCTCGTGGCCTCGTTAACAAAAGATAGCGCCCCTCACAAGAGGGTGTATGGCAGACCTCAACCCCCCCATGTTACAACTTCCCCAAACCTGTCCCCACCTTCCCTTTTATAAACCCCCACATCTTTCTCAAACCCCTCCTTAAGTCCTTTCATTTCCTCCATTGCCTCCTCTCATGCCTTTCTCTCTATCCCAATAGCTCTGTTTTTCTCTCCACATTCCTCCCAATAAATTAACCTTTGTTGCACTATAAAAACATTCCAATCTCTCCTTAGTCCCTACAAAGAAAGAACACCAAAAATATGTGTTCCTCCAAGTCTAAACTCCAAGGTAGAAGTGCTCACATCACTTCTCCAATCTCTCATATCAATGGCCGCCCGGTCCTGCAGCCGGCCTGCAACCGTGTCCCTCTCTTAGAACGCCGCGATTCGCTCAAAAAGACCTCCCTAAAAATCCCAACACCACCAATTCAACCTTTGTCATCATCACCAACTACTACTACTACTACTAATGCTACACCAATTAAGCATAGTGTGAATTCAACACCCCCTATCTCTCCCAAGCTAAAATCACCGCGACCACCGGCTACTAAGAGGGCCAATGATCCAAATGGGCTGAACTCTAGTGTGGAGAAGGTGGTGTTGACACCAAGGAGCGCCACCAAATCCGCGGCTTTGGTCAAGAAGCCGAAGAAAAATGGTGGCGATAATCATGGAGTTGGAGTTGCACCTTCACTAGAGACCTCTTCTTCGTTGAAGTACTCTTCTTCTTTGATTGTTGAGGCACCGGGAAGCATAGCCGCGGCAAGGAGAGAACAAGTTGCAATAATGCAAGTGCAGAGAAAGATGAAAATTGCTCATTATGGAAGAACAAAGTCTGCCAAGTATGAAGGGAAGGTTGTTGATCCTTTGGCTACTGCTACTACAATTGTTAAAGAGGAAAAGAAGTGCAATTTTATCACCTCTAGCTCAGGTATGCAAAAATTTTGGCAAATTAATCAACACATTTTATGAAAAATAAAATAAAAATACAAGCTAAAGTTTTGTGCTTATGGTGGTGTTTTTGCAGATCCTATATCTGTTGCATACCATGATGAAGAATGGGGAGTTCCTGCCCATGATGATAAGTAAGGCTCTCTCTCTCTCTATATATATATATATATGCCAACACATGTATTTATATATATGATACTATTCAGAAATCATGAGATTGATATATATGTTTGTGCTTATGTCCAGGCTACTATTTGAATTGCTAGTATTAACTGGTGCTCAAGTCGGATCAAATTGGACTACAGTCTTGAAGAAAAGGCAAGAGTTCAGGTGGGCGTGCTAAATTTCAAAGCCAGAACTCTGTTCTTTTATATTTTTATTGGGTAACTAAAATATATATATATATATATATATATATATATATATATATATATTAGCAAAAAAGAAGGGATATACAAGGTTTTACGAATTTGGATCCCTCCAGTGCACTGATGAGGAAGTATTACTCCACGGGAGAGTGGACCCCACATGTAAGATGGGCCCCACTCTCCCTGTTAACTAGACCGTCCAGTGCAGAGGATCCAAGGCTAAGAAACTAGCTCTGGAGTGGAGAAAGACAAGTTTAGAAACCAACAGGGGTTCCAAGGCTCTTTCACACTCCCTCTTTAAAAAATGTTGAAAGAAAAAGAAAAAGTATGAATCATATGTTTTAACTCTTCCTTTTGTTTCTTCTTTACAGGGAGGCTTTTTCAGGCTTTGATGCAGAAACCGTGTCAAAATTTACTGAAAAGAAGATGACATCCACCGGTGCTGATTATGGCATAGAATTAAGCCAAGTCCGAGGAGTCGTCGACAACGCTCACCGGATTCTTGAGGTAATTAAACATTATTGTTCAATAACACACCACCCTCTTTTAACTCTCATTTTAACACCCTGTTCATTTTTCCACTGTGGTGTAGTATTGCAAACTCTGAATAATTTGGGGAACAATATTTAATGCAAACTGTAGACTAGTCTGCATTAATTATTCTCTGATTGGAATTAAATGTCACACTTGTAACTCAATTTAATTTCTGAGGAAATTGCATTTTATAATGTCACATATATAAGATACAATTGTGTGGTCACTAATGTGGAATATTTTTTTTAACTCATGTACAGATTAAGAGGCTTTTTGGATCATTTGACAAGTATCTGTGGGGATTTGTGAACCACAAGCCCATTGCCACCCAATACAAGTCATGCTACAAGATCCCAGTGAAGACCTCAAAATCAGAGGCCATAAGCAAGGACATGGTGAGGAGAGGCTTCCGGTTTGTGGGCCCCACCGTCGTGCACTCGTTCATGCAGGCAGCCGGCCTCACCAACGACCACCTGACCACCTGCCCGCGACACCTTCAGTGCGTGGCGTTGGCATCTCAGGGCTCGACTGCAGCCCCAGCTCTATAGAATAGTAACATGACATGAGATGGAAGAGAGGACCAATGAATTAATCATATAATAAGCCATAATATAGTGTGACCTAAGTTTCATAAATTAGTTTAGCTGATCCTCTAACTACACATAGTACCTTTTTTTTAATGATTTAGTTGTGTGCAGTGATGTATGATATTTAATTATTGTAAGGTTTTTTTATTGATGATTAGGAATATGAGAGGAATAAAGAAAGGGAGTGTTTGTGTGGAGGGACAGAGAGCATGTGCAGGGTTGGGGATAGGCAGGCAATGGCATGTGGTTGGTGCCTATGATTTTCATTTTCTTGTGAGTTGTGACCACATCCTCCTCCATTATTTGCATTGCTTTAAACAGGCTGTGAAAGGATCCTAACACATCAGAAGAAGAGGGGTCATTAGGCCAGCCCTACCATCACCGTTATTGCCTTCAGAATTGGATAATAATTCCTATACATATGACCCTATATCTATTGATTGATCATCAAGAGGAGAAAATGACTCACATGCTTGATGGTGACTCAAGGTCTAGCTTCCATTCTCCTCGGGTCAAATAGTGCCATGTGCCACAAGAAATCTGTCCCAAAGGAGAGCGTGCAGGACAGACAATATCTACACGAGTTAGGACAGATCGTGACAAAAATCCTATACTGATTTTCTATATTCTGACCTTTAATTTAGTGGGAATGTGTATACGATGTCTTGTGTGTGTAACATAAGTTAGTGTGAGGGTTTTTGAGTGCCTTTTTTTTTTTTGGGTTGGATTGTATGAGTATGTACTGTTTGATCACTATATGTATACTTTTTTCAAGATCTTTTATTTATGAATGTATGGAGCATCAGTTAAGCATCTTTCTCTCCATGTGCTCTAAGTTTACTTTACACACTTTGTCTTCCTTTTTCTTGTGTCCTGCAGATGGCATAAATACTATATATATGATGACAGATGGTTATGCTTCAAAATGTACCCTCTGAAAAGAGAGGAATCTTAGGCTTATCCATTGGCTCAGGGTACAAAGCTGTTAATTATAACTTGTTATTTATTATTGTTGACCTAACTGGCCTCAACATGTCATTGTCTTTGCAAGGAAGAATACATGATTCCGTCTGTAGTTTCATTCACATTCACATGAGCTGTGTCTTTTTTTTTTTTTTTTTTTTCAATTTCCTTTTTTATCAGGGTTATGCGATTATAAAAGTTCAAGTTGGCAAAGAGGATGTACGAGCAGTCAATTTGTGTAAAATAATGTCAGAAGCTAGGGATATATTTGAGTTAGTTTTCTAAGAGTAGTTTTTATACTCAAATAATTAAAAAAAAAATTAAATAATCCGAGAACTCATCGAACTGGCAGTTATTCTAAACATAATCCTACGAAATATGAGTACAAAGAAATATTTAGTTCAAAGAAAGCTTTTGTATCTCTCTGTTCTGTTTTCAACAACACATTGCATCTGGATCAGCCATGGATAGATGTCCTTTCTCTTATTTCTTCACATAATTCACCAAAAAAAAAGAAAAAAGACTGACGAAAAAGAAGAAAAGAAAATGTCACATTTACACGCAAAAGGGTTTCGTTCATAAGTAACTGGTATAGCAAATACAATGTTAAAACCCGTGGCACAAAAGATGAACAAGTCATGGAAACAAAAGTAGATCATCAAGCTCATTGTAGGCTTTAAAGTGTATCATGACCATGGTTCACAGTTTCGATATCGTTCATGGTAGCGGTCAAGGGAGGAACTACTAATGGGCTAACCTGGGTTAAAGCCCAGGTCCAATTGAAAAAAAAAAAAAAATTAGTATTATTGTTCCTATAAGCCCATGTACTGCTCTTCCTCTTCCTATCAGCCCAGCCCAATCTATAGTATTTCTATAAATAAAAAGAGTTATAAAATTTACAAAGCTCAAATCTTAAATATGATCAAGCCCACAAACCATAAACATACCCAATCACAAAATAAATCATAATAAAATATAATAGGACCCAGCCCAGAAAATCAAACACATTGTTAGTCTTTCGAAGAAGACCTAAACTCTCCGTGTGTAAGGCACTAAGGCATAGGTGGATGGATATCATGAATTATTATTGTTAATCCAGTGAAATATTGAAATTTTTTTTTTTTTTTTTTTTTTTTTTTTTTTTTTTTTTTTTTGTAAAAAAAAAAATAATAAAAAAGGGGCTTTGTTGATGACTTGATAATTTTTTGTTAAATTTGGTAATTTACTATATAATGGATTAATAACTAGTCAGGGGTGGAGCACACAGGTCTTACTTTCTAATGTGAATTTATTGATAAGGAACATATATATCTTTCATTCTTGTAGTTGTTTGTTTTAATACTTGTATGAAACAAACTTCAATGGATTTTTGACTATGAAAATATGTTAGAGTTTGGAAGTATAAATGTGTTAGAAGGTTGTAGATTATTGGGTTTAATTGAATAACTGATGCATGATAATTATGTATTTAAAGTATGGATGACACACTAAGCAATCATGAGTTTAATTATTTTTAGCCCTCCCTACTTTGCAATCCTGGCTCCGCCCCTGGTAGCGGTGTAACGGATTCCGACGAATATTCGTGTAAACCGGTCGAAGCATGGATGACAAACTAAGCAATTATGGGTTTAATTATTTTTAGCCCTCCCTACTTTGCAATCATGGCTCCGCCCTGGTAGCGGTGTAACGGATTCGGGCGAATATTTGTGTAAACCGGTCGAATCGGCCCATTCATTTAGGTATTTAACGATATCAACGATACGGCAAAACATATTAGCATGATATACATATTGCATTCAATCCAAATGTTAATCTTGGGACTCAATCCCTATAACCATGGAACTTCCTTGCTATTGGGATTTTTGTTTTTGTTTTTGTTTTTTTTGTCCTTTCTCTGCATCCATTCCCCTATATCAATTATATCAGAATGTATGTAGAAAATTATAATTTTTCTTTCCTACACACACACTGCTGAGCAGAATCCCGGAAAATTTTCTTTTTTCTATTTTGAGTTCTGTCCAAACAACATGTTACAACCTCCTGTTTTTCCTGCCACTGATCCCAACTGCCCATGACACTCCCATCACTCCCAAGTAATTTACATCAATGCCTTCCATGTACGCCCCCTTCAGATCTGTCTCATGACAACTTCAACTGAACTCCATAACATCTTCACCTGCCTGACAACTCGCATCATTCTCTTTTTCCCAAACACATAAATGCGAGACAATCATTCCACATGATGTCCTGACATGGGAATGGGCACTCTATTTACCAAATTAGATTTTATTAATGGGACCGTCGAAAAAATGGACGAAGTGTTTTGGGAAATGATACTTTTAGCCGAGCATTTCAACCAAAATGTTGGCCGAAGTAATCTGCCAAGAGTCTCTCTATTGCATCCCGCGGCTGAGATGCCGGGCCTACATAGCACAACTCTAGTGTTATATATGCAGAGACAACTCAAAATTGCGGTGAACACTGTTGCCACAAAAGTAAATAGGAATAATTATACTGTATATTGCTTCTTCATCTAATATACTACAAACTTATACGGCTATTTGCAATAACTGCGCATATCTGAGGGAAAGAGTTTCTAGAATTGAGGGAGAGAGATATATATATATATATATTGATATATGTTGATTGTTTATTTTTCTTGATTAAGTTTTATGGGTAGTTTTGTTGAGCTAATGTGCAGATTACGGTTGTTACATCTAATATCCCTATATTTTTAAAAATTATTTAATTAAATTAATTACCTTTAAATAAATTTAATGGATTTATTTATTTTAAATTAATTATTTGTTTACTTGTTTATTTGATTTATTAGTATGATATGTGCTTGATTGTTAATTAATTTGTTAGCATGTTGTTTTTTATTTGTATGGTGTGACTTGGTTGTATGATTCTTGTTTGTGTTTATGCTACGTGTATTTAGTTGTTTAATTAATTATTTCACTTTATTATTTAAGATTAATGGACTGGGTTGGAATGATTTGGACCAAAGAAGTTGGTCTTAGCCTGAAAAGGAAAGCCTAAAACATTTTGGGATGATTTATTTCCCATTAATGTTTGATTATATATATATATATATATATATATATATTGTAAATTATCTTACTATATATTTTATATAGAGTTGGGAGTTAGTATATATATGGAAATATACATATTTATAGTAGCATTGTATGGACTAATTATTATATATATTTAATTTATAAAATTTGTATATATAGTGAGTGTATATATATAGGACATATGCACAAATATGTATATATATATATATTTGACTTACATATATTATTTTAATTTAGAATCCTATATGATTGAGTTATTGACTATGTATATGTAGTTATATTTGGGTGTGATGGTATTTTAGTTTATATATATATAATGTGTATATGAAGAGAGAGAGGGATGGCGAGAGTAATAGAGAGAGAGAGATGCCGAGAGTAATAAGAAAACTAAGAAAAGAAAGGGAAAAGGAAAAAAAGAAGAAAGAGAAGGAAGAAAGGAGGCTAAACTATATGGGAGACCAGACTTGCGGAGGACAACCGCGAGGAGCCAGAGTTGCCGATTAGATTTGGGAAGCTTGTGACGTCGGTTTCGTTTCGAAACCTTTATGCAAGTTCTTTTCTATTTTTTCTTTCAGAATCCATAAATTCTATACCTTGGATTTCAGAATCATAGACTAATATCACCTAGATATAAGATATAATGCATGTGAAGAAATTAATGTGTATATATACATATATATGTATGATTATGCTGAATTTAATTAATTATTTAATTAGTTAGTTAGACATTAAGACGTGTCGTGGAACAGACAAGTTCAGGTTAATCTTTATGGTATTGTATACATATTGTATTTCATAATTATTTTAGCCAGTTTAAATAATGTTGTATTAATTGAGTATTGACCAAATAATTCATGTAACGTGTTATCTGGGTATTGTTGATGGCACTGGTGGTTTGATGTCTATGAGGACATACCTATTGAGACCAGTGGCTCAGATGTACCTCAGCCCGTGGAGTCGTTTGCAGAGTTGGATGGGTATGGGTAAATAATTTATTCAAGAAATTTGGGGTCATAAAAGTGGGTGTGTGGCAAAAATATAAGTTCCCAATATTAATGCCAATTGTAAACATATATACAAGGCCACGCCTTATCTAGTCTTTATTTGGTACGTCTCATGCTCCAGTAAATATTAGGTGTGATGGGATTGAATATTATAATTAGAAAAGTAATTGAATTGTAATTAAATTATAATTGTATTTGCACTTTTATAACAAAGTTAAATTTGTAAAAAAAAATTAGAAAGGTCAATGGGTGGTCGATTTTACCACTTTAATAGAGGATAAAAATATTATTATTAAAGTGTATGGTGTAATATACATGTTATTTATTAGTATAAATGGTAGTGGTTGATTGGTTTTATCATTTGGTGGAAATTGAATATAGTGTTATATATTACCACACATAAATAAATAAATATAACCTAATCAATTAATGAGTTGTTCATTGATATTTATCCTATTTATGTATGTAGTAGGATATTTATTTAAATTAATTATATGCTTATAACTTGCATGTAGTGCCTATGTATGATTTATTTAATATTTAATTGTAAAGTTTGATACATTGTTAAATTGGGGGCATGAATGAGTTGCTAAAGGTATAAATAAATTGCCTTATTAATTGTATGAATAAAATTCATACATGGAGAGTATGGATGAATTGCTAATTAATAGTATGGATAAAAATATACTTTTGGGAGGCATGGATGAGTTGCCAAGACATAAACAGATTGTCATTTAATAGATATGGTTAATTTGCCAAAATATAA